GTGTGTGTGTGTGTGTGTGTGTGTGTGTGTGTGTGTGTCGGTCTGCTGTGGAGGTAAAATGAATTGCACCTTGGGGCAAAAAAGGAAAAATCTAAAAAGACTTTTTCTGAAGTTGAACACAAAATCACTGCAACTCCTTCTCTTAACAAAATCATCCCAGACTTTTCTGATGTTCAGCTATCAATGATGTAATGCTCGTCATCTATAGCATCTATCCTTTGCCTGCTCCGGTTGCCTCGGGGCAGGACTGGGGCAGGTTTAAGGCAATGTCTCTGAGACTGTCTCTCTCCTCCGTGATCTCCTGTATGTCCTGTTCAATGAGGGACAGACGGCTCTGCTGCTCTTTAGCGGCCGATTGCAGCTTCTGGATCTTTGAGCCTAGCGTTGGGCTCTCTACACTCCCGCGAAGCATGCTCAGACGGTGCGCTGTCTCGTTCAAGATCCGGTGAAATCGCTCCAGTGGCACATCCCCATCTGGAGGGAGGACAGAAAAAGAAAATGCTGCATAACAGACTTGAAAAAGATCTGTTTTTTTTAGACTGTGGTTTATTAATGGCTGTCCTACTTCACTTATTCAAACAGCACATAACCCAGCATCATGACCTAATTGCAGTGATTGGATGATTATTCTCTCAAGCACAGTAGAACTGACCACAAAGTGCAAAACCTCAAAAAATAATTCAACCTTCCAATGAATTATAAAAATGATTTGACCAAAGAGGACATACAGTAGGTCAGATATATATGTCAGACCTAAAGGAAATGCTGCTCGGACTTGTGCACAGCAGTTATTCGTGTTTTACGGTCTGAGGAGTATTTCCATGTTTAATGAGGCATTAAAAGGCACCGAGCTCTTTAGTGGGCTGATATTTAAGGTATAATGAAAATTTATGGGTTTTATAGACACAGAAGAGCAAAAAGTAGTGACTTACCAATCTTGCTGATTAGCTCAGTTAGTGTAACAGAATAGGCCTCTAGCTGGAGCTTGGCTGCTTCCATATCTTCCTTTACGCTGGCCAGAGACACCCCAGGCTGAGAATTACAAGACATGCTCTAGAAACAGTCTTTTAAGCTGCACGCAGGATGAACAGATCGATATGCATAGATTTTTTCCTTCAAATATGTGTATGGCTGTGTTAAATACCTCTGAGGTAATCTGGGTGTTAGCTCTATCAGTCAGCAACTCCTGCACTGACAGTTGCTCTAAGGCAGAGTCTATATTGGAGCTAAGGTGAGCAGATGCAGTCCTGGTATGCTTAGCCTGGGTCAGAATGGCTTTGGATTCCTAAACACAAAAATGAGGGAAAGGTTAGCAAATGACTACTGGAAATATTCTGAAATGTTTATGAAAAACCACTAAGAGATCTATGGATCTGTGGATTGTGAGTGCTACTTTAATGTTTGCTTAGCTTTTTATTTTATATGTTAGCATGCTAACAATCGCCTAATCAGCATTTAAGTACCGCTGTGATCGGCAATATGTGACAGCATCACATATGGCCTTTTTTGATAGTGAGTAAAAATAAACGTCAAAACTGAGTGAAAACATAACAGTCAAACTCCCATCAGTAAAATGAACCTGGTGCCCTCGTAGACAAACTTAAGATTTATACCAGCACAGACTTGGCTAATCAAAAGAGCACCATTAGATGTTAGCCTTAAGGCACAGACACTTAATATCAGCACTTGACAGAACAGCAGTATCATGTGATGAGAACTTGTAGTAGAGAGATGTGGCACTCAAGGAATCCTGATGAGAAATTTTCTGGGGAATTCTGTAATGTCAGAGATGGCGATCGTTACATTTCTTCCTCCAAAGAATCAATAATCTGCAACTGATGCATGCACACAGCTTGGGGTTGGGTTTGTGTAGTGGCTGTAAAGTGCATTGGTGGCTGATCTTGGCTGTGTGTTTATCATCTGAATTAGCACAGTAGCTGGTCGGGTGTTGATATGAGCCAAATATGCTGATTGTATTAACACTTTGAATTGAGCTTAAATTAATCCTTGGTGTAAAACGTTGCAAAAAAGTAGGAAAACACAACTTATTTCATAGGGTTTTTTTTCACATTTGACTTGTGATATTATACATGCAGTTTTTATGCCTCAGTGACTATTGAAGTTAAGCTATGGCTCTCTATTAATTCATTGACTGGGACTTTTAAAGTCAAAATAACTTCCCAGAGTTGTTACTCTAGAAGGTCTTTGGGTGAGATTAACTGGAACATTATTATTTGTGACATCATCTAATCAGAAGCTATACTTTTGAACAAATTAGGAATTTTGTTTTGTGTATCACACAAAAAAAATGATTGACTTACTGCAAAAATGTTGTCAATTCCACAAATTAGCAATTCTCCAATTAACATCCATCATTTATAATCCCATTTGTTCAGTGTTATGGTTGGAAAAACAAGTATTCACACCTTTACCACAGCATGCGCTTTTTGTTCGGCGTCCTTTGCCGTGCTACTTGAGATGTTGGAGTGTTCCAGAGCTGGTTTAAGCATCTTCTTGGTCTCTGCGACTTTCTTCCTGACATCAGGCAGGATCTTTTCCTCCAAGGGTCTTGCCTTCTTGATTGCAGCCTTGGTCTGCGCCTGTTGACGGGGCCACTGTGTAACCATGCCTGAATGGAGATTCAAGCAGATGGATGTTATTAGGATTAAGGCATAATCAAAGTTGTATTAGATTAAAAAAATATTTGGCTATAAAGGTCACTGTGTACTGGGTGAATTTAATTTTTTTATCCACTCTTTATTACTCTCTACTATTACTGACTGTCCAAGCAGACAAAATAACCTAAGACTCTCTTTATGTTTCATAAATGTCAATATTTAATTAATGAAGTTTAAGCTAGAACGACTCAAAACATTCTGGCTCTTTCTGTTTTTCTACAGAAGCCGCTATTGTGCTCAATACGTGACAAATGGGTCAAGACATTACAACCGTGATGACATATCTATTATATTAAAACACGAGTCTCTGGGTCATACGGTGGTTTTCTTTTCATCTCAGTACTTGACATTTCAATTTAAGCAAAATAATTTAGTTGTACATTCAACAAAAGCAATAATGTACGTCAAAAAGATAGAGGCTTACGTTCTAGTTGTCTGTGAAGAGAGATTGCTTCTGATTCCACCTCTTTGCCTGTCACAACTGATGACAAAGTCACAACTTTTGCTCCGTGAGCTTGAGTTTGCAGCTTTAGTACAAGAGAAGGAGGATAAAGCAAGAAGTCAGTAAAGTCAAGTGTAGTTTATTAAATCTTTGCAATAATGTTTATTGTGTTTCATGTTATATTTTGTTCAATTATTGTGTTTGTAACAAAATATTCTTCTGTAATTTTCTATCTATCTCTCTCTCTTCCTTCCATAGATAGGGTAATTGGAAACACTAAATTGCCCATGTGAGTACAAATGGTTGTCTGTGTCTATGTGTTAGCCCTGTGACAGCCTGGTGACCTGTCCAGGGTGTACCCTGCCCCTCGCCCTAAGACAGCTGGGATAGGTTCCAGCAACCCTGAAAAGGATAAGCGGAAGAGAATGGATGGATTTGTATTAGCTGATCTCAAAACGAACAGTGACGACGAACATTACGCCTACGTTGCTGACATTGCACATACCTTACGTCTCCGTGCACATTGTTGATTGTAAATACTTTTCGCTAAACTCTGGGGTCTGTGAAATGTGTTGTCATGCATATCTATAATTGATTACTTTGCCTTATACAATGAAAATGTAGCTTGCAAAGAAGAAGAACAAAAAATATGTTTATATGACTCATTTCTTTGGTGTTTAAGGTTTTGCTGTATCACTATACGTAGTGATAGAATGAACATAGAAAGAATAACAATAAATTAACATACATGTCTGTGTTTTAATAATTCACAGAACTATGCTGTTAACATGGCTAATAACCATCAATACTAGCAAACACTTAGTGTGGTTACCTTGCTGACGTTATTCACGCTTTCCATGCTGTTGTTGACTGTCTGTAGTAAAGGCTCCACCACTTCTCTGACCTTAGCAATGAGACCGTCTTGAGTCTGAACTTGCTGGTCCAGTTCTTTTGTCTGTTTCACCAGGGTCTCACCCCACTACACAAGAAAGGGGATAACAAGAAGCAACAGTTCTATTAGAATAAAGATCTTTTTTTAAATTGCTTTCTCTACTTTTCTCAACTACCACGTACACAAAGGGCACCTTAGCATATTTCTGGGTCATTTAACAGTGTATTCTGCTCAGACATGCTGCTGTGGTAATCACCCCCCCTCCAGAACAACATGTGCCCTGTGAGCAACAGAAGCTGCCAGAATCTTCTCTCCTGTGCCTCAGTGTGCGTCTTTCCTTGCCAAATATTAAATGAGAAAAAAACGAAGTGACATTAACTTCCAATTCCCCATACCTCTATCTCTCTATGACCCAAGTTAAACAAACCAGAGTGGTTCCTTATATAAGCAGCACCCACACTAATTAGAATGAAATGATTGATTTATTGGTTCAAAATGCAACAGAATATGCTTGAAATCGTAGTGAAGATTAAACTGACCTCTGTTGTAAAGTTGGTTAGATGTTTGGTTTGGTTGAACTGAGTGTGATCAGCCTCCGGATATGGGCTGGCATCTGTCAGAGCCAGCTGATGTAAGGATGATGTGATGTTACCCAAGGCAAGCTTTAAACCAGCAGCTTCTTCCTCCAGGGCCAGCTGTTCGGCTACAGTATCGTTCACCTGCACCGTCAGGTTCTCCTTCTGCTGCTGCATCTGTGTGATTCTAAAATGAAAGAAGTGCAGTAAGAATGTATCAAAACATATAATATATCCCCGATAGGTGGGAAACATATAGAAAAGTTTTTTTTAAAAAAAAGTTCTTGTCTCTGTTCTACACAACCACCTACGTGCACATGCATGCTAAAAATGTGCTAGTGCTAACTTCTAGCTTCACATTGGCTTTTAACCACACTTTCCAAGGTGAAAGTCCTCTTCTAAAGCCACTGCACATTCTGTCTCTTTCTTCATTCTCCTCTTACAAGTCTCCTGTCATGAACTAGATTTTCTACAGCAAACGGTTCCCAGATGCAGTGCAGGAGTTCTCTCACTGAACATTTACATAAAAATATGGTGATACTGATATCAAAACATGATTGACTTACTGACAGACTGACTGAAGTCCAAAACATGTAGTCTATTTCAGCTTTAATGTAAAATATTATGGGTCATTTATAAGTGTTCATATAGTGAGATACTATACTACAGGATCATTCGAATGTCACATATACTGTAAATCATTTTCCAAATAATAAGATGATCACAGCGTGCAATACTGAATGCAATAACAACCTTGAAACGAATTTAAAAAGTGCTTTTTTAATTAGTATGTGAGACAAATGTTTTTCTTTTGAATCGTGTGAACACAAAAGCTCATGCAGCAAAATTTCAGCCTTCTGTATTATCCTGTTTAATAAAAAGCCAACTTAAAAAGACAAAATGTGAAAATAAAAAAATGGGTTCATTATATACAACAGCAGCTTTATACTGCTGAGGGATAGCTCAGTAGATAAAGTGATCACCCCATGGTTGGAAGGGTTGGGGGTTCAAATCCACTGAACGGCTACCATGAGGTACCCCTGAGCAAGGTACCGTCCCTACACACTGCTCCCCAGGTGCTAGATTGGTGGCAGCCCACTGAGTTGATGGGTTAAATGCAGAGAGAAACATACATTATTATTTATTTTGCAACCTATCTGACCCAGACACATTATCATATAATGCTGTATATTATGATGCATCAGTTGCAGAAACTGATGCACCAGTGAAATTAGTGTTAAAGAGTTTCCTTGTGTTTTAGACTTTATTTGCAAGAATGTACAGGACGTATACAGAGGTCCTCGTTTCTAAATTTAAAAGAAAGACGACCCACACAACAACTTGATGTCTCTCCCCTTCTCTCTGCTGTCTCAGAAAGCCCCCTTCTTCCTGTGGAGCTGACTTCACTTTGCACTCAGCAGTAGGAGGTACTTGGCAGAGGGAGAGGAAATGGTAGGTGACATCAGTGTTAAAGAGGTGTGTTTGACTTTGTGACTTATGCTCTTTCTTTGACCAGCATGCAGTTTGCTGCTTGCTGCGGCTCAGTCACACTAGAGCAAAAATAGGACTTCGATTGAGAATAAGAGAATAAGCAAACATTTGCTGTTTAATTTATAAAACTGGACAGTTTTCCAACAAATGTCAGTCAGTGTGAAGCAGTCTGGAGTTCGTTTTACTTGTCTCTTTGCAATAGAGGACTGAACTCAGTCGGTTACCAGCCAGTTGTATTCTGGTTATATTTCTGTTTATAGAGAGATGTGCCTATGTCATTTTGCATTAAAGTATCTGTCCTGAAGCATCTATTTGTGGAGGAACTTCTGCTTCTGTCCATGAGGTTCTGACGGCAGTCAGGATACATTTTAAATGTTAATTTCTGTGTCTGTAGACCGATTAATTCCCCTATTATTGCAAATAAAATGGAACTGATTACCAATGACTACATTCAACTGCAGACTCACAGTTGATGCGTGAAAGTCATTTTAAAAAGTGCAAATAACTGCAGATGGTCACAGATCTAATCTCCAACTTCCAGGAAAACATTTCAGAGAGGTCTTAAGTTAAATGCAATAGTTTTTGTTGTGTCCAGTCTCCAACCATTGTTTATCCTGATGTGACTGTAGCATTAGAAATGGTTTGAGATGGTTCGAGCATCTTTGTAAAGCTATTCATAAAATTCTTCCTTTGCTCATGGTTTCGCATCCCCTCCATGTTTATTGTTATTTCCCCAACATCAGAGAAAAGAGCTTGTATAGTTAACTTGCTTTCTCTCCCTTGCAGCACTGTGCACAATATCTTGAGAGTGACATGAGCACATGAATTGCTTGTATGTAGTATAGTACATACCAGAGGTGTGGACTCGAGTCACATGACTTGGACTCGAGTCAGACTCGAGTCATTAATTTTATGACTTTAGACTTGACTTGAAAAAATGTT